TGTTTCTTTCACGATGTATACTATATTATATACAATATCAAATAAAGAAATGATGTTTACCTACGGGGGAAACCCCCAAAAAAAAAAAAAAAAATTTTATCGTATATCAAACAAAAATTTTTATTTTAAATTGCATAAATACATTTACATTTCTCGCATCATCGTCATAATGACACATTATCTTTAAATAAAATAAATAATAATAATAAATTCTGCTAACAATCCGTATGGTTAAATATTTTTATATCGAGGATGTGCTAATCAGACAAATTATCTTATAAAATCCTATTGATAGTAATCTATTATTAATTTGCATATGTATTTATGCCGCTATTAGCTGGTGAATAAATAAATGCCGAGTTTTATAACTTCGATACTAATTATTAACTAATACATGAATGATCATATCACATAAATAAAAAAAATTTTTTTATTCTTGCCAAAAACTGACGTGTAACCCCCTCGAGGAGCAATCGTCTTTCATTAATAAGGGTTTTGGTGACGTAAAAAAATTTAAAATAGTTAACCATTCACCAGATTCGTTAAAGAATATCCGCCAGGCTGGTCCACCTTTAGTAATTTCTATAAATGTCAGTCAAACCCAGACAGGTTTTGATCGTTGTCTGTGCACCCCACAAAAATTGCATAAATAATTAAGGTTAGACTCTCGTTAGACCGGGTGATGGCGTTAAAGAAAGTACACTTGGTAACATCAAACAGGTATCATTCAAGCGCATATTAATAACAGGTACGTAATTATTATCATCAGGTAGTGAAGAGAAGAGTATCAGGAATTTAGCAATGTGACCTCTCCTAGTGACGCCTAAATGTTTGTTTTTTTTTCCTGCAGATGTGCACTTTCTAGAAATGAAGAGCAGACGGGTAAACAGCATATGGTCAAAGCAAGTGACACGCACAGAAAGAATTATGTTTACCACACAGGTGTCGCGCGATAAAAGGTAAAACGTTTACCTCATATGTAATTAACAAGAAATATTTCTGATACAAGATGACATTATTATATGTGTGATCTCCATTAATAAAATTATCCATTAACACTATAAGAAGGCTATGGATCTTTGTTTAACGTTGGTAAAAAGTCAGATATTTTATTGTTTATTTAGGTATGTACTCAGTATCACGTACGCAAGTACGTATCAAATGATATTCATGCAAAGCGTCAACTATCGTACTCCGTCACTTGCCGCCGTGTCTTTATAAATACTCCAATCTTATTCTTTTCTCTCCACCCTCATTTTTGTACGATACATAAACGACATTGCCCGTTATATTGATCTTGACAATATTGCCTAATTCATCTGACACACACATACACCTATTACCAATATAAGTCCGCATGGTTCTTCATTTTCGGTGAAGTATGGAATCTTCCTTTTTTTTTTTCAAAATATATTAATACCATATTGGTTGTGCAAGTCACGTTAACAAACCTTTCTTTTTTCGTTCTGTTGGCACACCTTATTGCTTTTCTTCTTTTAGCCCGAATTTCGCACAACTCTTTCTCGGAGAAAAACTTGCTTAACATAAAATAATACACAGTTTGTACATAAACCTACCCGCAGTAAACTTAATAAATCATAATGACCTTGACCTTGTTTGTCGGAAGGTTCATGCCTATCGTCGTGCTATCTCTGGTCGGTTATAGTTATTATGTGTTTGTCTATCGAATATGTGGTAGGATATTCTGATTATTATTTCCTTTATGATTTTATGGCCGTGTTAGTTCGCGTCACGCGCTAAACCGAGCAATGTACACAAGGGGAATGATTAAAGAGTATTACGTGATCCATTTTAATCATTTTGACCCGATTTGATTAAAATTAATGAAACTTTCCACTAATACTTCATTCGCTCGTCCATTAGCCACGATAATCCCGCAAAAAAAAAAAAAAATTAATAATAATAAATTGAATTAAAGTAAATAAATCTCCAATCTGTTCTTTATTATTAATAATAGTTGATCCATTAATAAAACAAAATCATCAAATCGGTCAAGCTGGTATGATCTTTTATTCAATACATACACGCACGTGAATATATAATTTTTTTTTTAACCATCTCTCAACCTTCACCCTTCGTCGATTTATTATCATTACATGTAGTGGCATATTTGGTAATTTTCAACATTTTATTTATCATGGTCCTGATTACATACTTTCGAGTACTATTTCGAGATCCCGGTTTCCCGCCAAGAGTAGGTTACTTTCGATTCAATCTTCGGTTTGTTATCCTTGAATTTGTTATCATTTAATGAATCAATCTGTTGCTGCGCCATGTTAGTCTCCCGGGCGAATGCAATCTCCGAACCCTGCCAGCAATGCCGTTGCCGCAAGCACTTTGAGTACGTCAGAAAACGTAAATCCGCAATCGATATTGTCAACACAATCATCCCTGCCGATGTTTACTTCCGCACATCAAATACCCGCAAATCCGATATCATATCCAAATAATTCTTCAAATGTGGGTGCTTTGGATGCAATGGAAAACGCGTTCTCAACTGGCGGCATCACCTCGGTCACCGCTTCCACCGCTTCCACTGCCTCTCCATCATTTCCTTCACAATCTGCGGGTGTGATGATTCCGATGCCCAGCACTTTCGTGAGTAAGAGAGATGGAAGATTAAGGTGGTGTGATAGGTGTAATTCTGTTAAGCCTGACAGGTGTCATCATTGTTCAGAGTGTAATCGGTGTGTTCTGAAGATGGATCAGTATGTTTCATTTATTGCGTTATTTGTGCGATCATGTCTTTTGGATAATGGAAAATGATTTTTTTTTTTTTTTTTCTCCCTGTAAAGCCATTGCCCATGGTAGGAATTCATTTACTCCTTTCTCTTTCTCTTATTCATTTCTCCTTTTCTTCTTTTTATTCACATTCACATATCCTTGATTCTTCACCATTAGGGTTAACGGTTGTGTGGGATACAACAATTACAAATACTTTTATTTGTTCATAGTGTATACCTCTCTATATGCTGATTTCACTTTTGCCTCAACGATACCTGTTGTAGTTGAAGAATTGAGGGATCTAAATGTACGAATTTTGCTTTTTATTGTCTTTACAAAATCATCTATCATGTGTGCACATCTTAGATCAGGTTTATAATAACTAATTGTCAATTAACCTCCGATTATGCAGAATGAATTGGATGTACAGTGGATAATTCTTCTGATACTGTAAGTGATTCTTTCTTATTTTTCCTGATTGTTATCTGATTGATTTTTGTTCCTGCGTATTTACCCACCGATCTACTTTCCCATAATCAAATATACAAAAAATTCGTAAAAAGTGCATTCATTTTTGGCCTCTTACTAACAGGATTCACAATGGTTCACACAGTATACATGCTTCAGAATAGAACAACCATAGAGAGCTTATCATTTCGCTCACGGACATATCATTTACGTGTGCAATTTGATGTGGGAAATCATTCAAGTTACGGTGTGGCGGCTACGAGAGCCGGTGAGAACCTGTGGGATCTTGGTTGGAAGCAAAATTGGAAGAACGTGATGGGAAACAAATGGTGGTTATGGTTTGGTGAGTGGTCAAAGCAATGTTTTTCTCTGCCTCATAATTCACCATTCATTTTTACCTAATTTCTACGAACAGTGCCAGTTGGGAATCCGCCTGGAGATGGTCAAGCATTTCCGTTTAACTCTACTGTACATAATCGGTTAATAGACGATGCAAGGAAGGCGCGACTTCAGGAAGACAGAATGTCGGCAATGATTCAACAAGCGCAAAGTGGCATGGTCGGAGGAATATGATGGGTGATGGTTGTGAGTGAAGATGGATTTGATCGTCTCGGTCAATTTTTTTTTTTTTTTGAAATTGTCGCTTGATAGAACATTGTATTAAATGAGATCGCTAAAAATAGTAAAAGAATTATTTAGGATAGCAACAAGGATTGTTGTATTGTAGCGAGAGTCCATAAATTGTATACTGCTTTTGTAAAGATCACATGATCAACATGTATTGATCGATCAAAATCTGCATACGTAAGCTTCGTGTTACATGTTTATGTGACTGCATAAATAAAGGGTCGGACTTTTACGAAAGGGATCGTTTTGCAAAAAATTTTTTCTGTATACTTGTTTTGAACAAGATACCGCTTGACACTTCTCTAATATCAGTCTACACAGTTTGAAACTGATTCTTCGATTGCAATTGTTTTATTTTATTTTTTTTCTTACGGCCTGTTTAGCTTCTTTTTTTTTCTTTCATATTATTGTTATTACCTCTTATCCATTTTACCATTTTTTAAAAAAATGGCACTTTTCATCGGAAGGTGCGTGGAAAGTAAACGAAAAAAAAAAAAAAAAGAAAGAAAATGCAGCTCATCTCTGTTACACAGTACACGCACAATTTTGGAATCTTAGCATATTTTATTACATTTCACAGGCTAGCACTGGATACTCACCCAAGAGATCTCGAACATATCTTTGATAAATTTGGACGTTTGAATCGATTGGAAGTTAAGAGAGGCTATGCCTTTGTCGAATATCAAGACCAAAGGGATGCCTCCGACGCTATAAAGGAGACAGATGGTTTGGTGTGTGATGTGAAAAGACTTTTTTTTTCACATTTCGTTCGTTCGTTCGTTCGTTATTCAAGGCTTTATTTCATCTAGCGAGTGCGTGGCAACAAAATTGTTGTTGAATGGGCGAAGAATGGCGGCAAAAAGCCTGGTATGCTTTCGGAGAATGATTCTGATCGTTTTCGTGTGTCCGGTCGATAAATATTTACATCGCCACGTTATTTTCTTGTGATGCAGCCGAAAACCAATGTTTCAAATGTGGTAGAGAAGGTACGCGGATGAAAGGGTGAAAGGTTTTTTAATATGTATATTTCTTTACTTATGTTTATATATTTAGGACATTGGGCAAAAGATTGTCGCTCTTTTCGTAAAGACAGACGTAGGAGTAGGAGCCCAAGAAGAAGGTTTGTTTTCGCGAAGGTCGTTCTCTTTATCGATAATTTACTTGGTTTTATTGCTTCCGAGAAAATCGTTAGGGTTTGAGAGATCATGTCAACGGTGCCTAGAAAAATCAGTCACCATTCGGGCGTATAAAATGCTGTTTTTGTCTATTTAGTCGGAGTTACTTTCTATGAGTCAGAAAGATCCGTTTGTCCGTTTAGTGATCTACAAGATTTGTTTTAAGAAAAAAAGAACTAACCGCGTTGTGTCGGATCCGAATTGTCATCAAAGAATCATTCCTACCCGTTAAATGCTCATCCGATTATTCTATAAATATGACATTGGAACCGTAAAAATCCGTTGTCCGTTTTCTGAATATCCATGGTCGAGTCATGATGATTTCCGTTTCAGAGAAATTACCGTCTACTTTCTATTCCGCCGTTCTGTTTCCACATATTGTATTATTTATATGTATTTTTTTCACCTCTTTGAAGTTTCTTCAACTTGGTTCGAGTTAATCGTGCCGTAATAACTCGCATAAATTTTCTTCCTCTGGTTGAATTACGTTGACTCCAACAACGCCTTTTTTTTTCTCCTTTTCAGATCTCGCTCCCGCTCTCGCTCTCGTTCCCGTTCTCCTAGGCGGTCCCCATCCCCAAGGCGTGAACGTGATCGTGATCGCGATGATCGTGATGATAAGTATTCCAGCAGGTACTCGGGTGACGAGAAAAGTACGCCGCGTGGAGAACGTCGATACTCGTAAGCAAATTTATTACTTTATTCATTTGAAAGGACATTCGATCGATCGATCAAACCAATTCCTGATATTTTTCCAAGGGCGGAAAGGTCATCTAGCGAGCGTTGAAGAAAGCTTGAATATTTAATATTCGAATCGTCGGTAATTTTCGTCGATTCATTTTCCTTTTTCCACATGGGTTAATGATCATTGTTGTTTCTGTTTGTTTTCCGTTTTTTTCTTTTTTTTTTTTTTTACTCTTCGTTGCATCGTGTTTTCGATCCGTCAAGTTTCGTTCCTCAACGTCGATACTTAAGAGTTCTTACCCCAATCATATTTGGTTTATTCATCATCATCGCAGGAGATCGTTTTTAGAAAAAAAATTCCCGATCCCAGTTCTGATTTTAGTATTAATACGAATAAAACATTCTATTTTTCATTCATGCTTCTTGTACCTATTATATATTGATCATTGTTTATTTGAAATTTATAACTCTTGGAGATGAATACGCCAATCTATTGCACCTCTAATAATGGCAAACTTCGTTGACTGTCATCGTTCTGTTTCAAAGATTTTTTTCACCTGAAAATATTATTAAAATAAATTGTCTTTTGACTATATATATATATATATATGTGTATTTTCTTTTTTTCAACAAAGTACTTTCCCTCGAAAATTATATCAAATCTAGATAATATATATATATATATAAAGAAAAAATCCAATATATATATAACCCAATACATGACAAAATTTAATTTGTGATGCATTTTTTCGAGAGTTGAAGTAAATAAAACGAAAGAAAAAAAAAAAAAAAAGTGACAAGGGTATCCAGCAATTATAATACAAAGAAATTATTGAACAGATAAGGTGTGTATAAACACCCAGTAAGAAATTATAAGTGATGAATAAGATGCATAATAGGTGATAATCTTGGTTCGACACATGGCCGACCAAAAACAAGGTAAACGACCACCAGTTATATTTAGAATTATGTTGGTACTCTCATGTTTCCATCGCTTAATAAAGTTTCAATCCAATATAAAATTATTTCAATTGAGCGTGTCGTCCAACGTTCATCGCGAACAACTTCGTAAGGCAACCAGTCACTATACATATTCGTGCCCTGGTTGTTATCAAGAACGAAAACAGACGTGATTATGCCAAAGAGATAGACAACCAATGTATACAGCGCGAAGGTAACGGTACTGTTGACTATAACGTTATTCTGCGCGACATTTAACTTGTTGTTATTGTTGCACGGAACTAACGCTTTAGACGATTGCACGGCCTGTGAATCGGTCTTTTCAGAAGGCTGTTGTTGAAAGTAGAATGCAAAGATTTAAGAAATTGCACTCGTGTTCAAAATTTACATGAAAAGGTATTTATTGTTCATTGTTAAACAAACCTCGGCATCAGGAATAAGATTTGCTGAACAATAGAGGTAACATATATTGAACGTATCATAAATGAGTTTTCGATGTGAAGAAAATTAAATTCACAATTTCAAATGTACTAACCTCTCCGTTTGCTACTTTTTCGTCGTGACATTCTTTGATGTCTTGGATCTATATTCTCACCATCCACACTATTACGAATTTGTCTCTCTCTCCTATCATGAGGGTAATCACGGGTCCTTATGAGACCTTCAATCAACGCATATTGAACTCCAAGTTCTGATGATAATATTTGATATTGAGCACCAACTTCCCGGTTCGCAGTAGGGTTACTACGTATCATACCGCTATTATTGTTTGGAATTAATGAACGTCGATTGCTCCTAGAACCGTTTGACTTACGACTGCTTTGTTCAACGAGGGATCGTTCATTATCATTATATTGTGAGTTTGGAAGTTCATCATTTGTATTTCCATCTGATGCGTCATTAGGATGCCTTGAATCCTAAAATTATAGTTAGTATTAGAAAATGTAATCAAATCTTTACATCACAAAACCTCTGAACACTTTTACCTTATTTGTTAACCTATTAAAATCATCAGTATTCGAATCAGAACCTGGTTGCTGTTCTTCCGAAAGGGAAGCACGTGCTTGATCAAACAATTCGGTCTGTAAATCCTTTTTTTTTAATAATAAAAACTTTTCGTTAGAGATGAAAAATGATCAGAACTTAACCGATCGAGCTATAATAACATACCTTGTATGTACCAGCTTCGACCACATCGAACTCATTAAGCTGTTGTAAAAGAAAAATGTTAATTAGATTGATTGTTTAATCAATTATGATTCCTCAATCTCAAATCACGAACCTTGTAATCAGTGATGTCTCCGACAACGTCATATTCAGTAAGCTTATGTTAAGGATATTTCGACAAGCAATATTATTGGATCATAAATAAATTTGAAGAAATAATACAAAAAGGATATCTTTTAATGTTATTTCTACTGCTCCGTATTTCTTCCAAATCGATTTTCAACTTGTCAATAGTTTCTTTGAGATGCATATTCTCGTTCTTCTGCTCTTCGAGTTCTTTCTCTGAAGCTTGAGCGGCCGCGACACCTTGTTCCAACTTGCTCAACGCTAACTCCAAACGTTCTCGGTCATCAACCCACTGATTAGAATGAAATATCAATTCGCATATGCAATTTGTAAAAAGGAAACCAATTTACTCAATTAAAAAAAAAACATACTCTTCTCTCTTCCTGTGAAAATTGGTTGAGATTACGTTGTGTGGTACCTAATTCTTCTTCTTTAATTCTAACAAGGTCTTTAAGTTTTTCCGCTTCCTCTGTGTTAAGATTCATAATATATCAAGTTACAATCTATTCAGAGTAGGTGAAGAAATATAAATATAATATGTACCACATCGTTCCTCGTACTGTTTCTTAAGCTGATGATACAATTGTTTTTGTCCGCTTAAATTCTTTGCCACCTTTTGGATTTCTCCTTCCAACTAATTTTACACATTCAAATAAAAATTTAGTGAAAATTAGCTAACGAGTTATCAGTTAAAAGTTGCGTTTCTTAATCAATTAACTGTATAAAATTACATACAGCAGAAATTTGATGCAAGTTCGTTTTCTCTTTACTTTTGTGATTTTGAATCTCTCGTTTTTTAGCCACAAGATCTGCTTTCGTTTCTTCCAACCTATGCTGAAGTTCCTCAATACGATCCTCATGTTGCCGAGCCACGGATGCTAGATGATTTTCTGAATCTTTGAGTCGTTTGGTAAGGTCGACAGTATAACGATACAAACGGCTGAGTTGGGCAGCGGGATCGTCGGTTGTCTAAAGGTAATAGCAATTGATTGTTTTAAACTCATATCTAACCAATAAAGAGGGAAGGACAAATATTCTTACCGACAGTAATAGTTGGGAAACTGATTCATCAAATCCACCGTTACCTTCAAATGACGTCTCAGTAAGCTCCTCGGTGGGATTGTAAAACGGCTTTGCATAATAACCCGAAGATAATCTTCTTGAACGAGTGGTGCCCGTGCTATTGATTGAAACATCATAACTTTCTTCTCCCTTTCAAATTTTTAACGCAAAGGATTTAGCGAAATTGGAATATGTATATAAATTGTTCTCTTAAGAAAGTAATTTTAGAAACTTGCATCATTTTCCGAGGAAGCAATTGCTGGTTCTCTATTCCTGAGATTAGGTCTATTGTTTTTTCCGTACCCAACCGAAGATCGAACTGAAGAACGAAGTGACCCTAACTTGATCATCGATCTCCTGGAACTGGTCGGATCCGTGGAGACGGAAGAACTAGCTGGGGTTGCTGGGGCAAGCTGACCAGGTGTTTGAAGCCTAGTTACGAGTTGGAGAACATCATCAATAGATACCTCCATATCTGGGTTTTGTTCGCAAAACATTTGAAAGACAGGTCTGGCATCATCCTTTAATAAAATGACTTTTTGTTCATTTTCAAAGCGCTCGATCATTTTAAAAAGATCTTTGGAAACGATCCTTCCAAGGCCTGTTTTATCAAAAGGTTCAAATATTTTTTCTAATTGTGCTTTAAGAGCCTTATGTTCGAGATCCTATTAATTTAGGACATAAAGAACAGAATAATGATTAATTTCATTATGATAGGCATAAAAATCAACAACACAACATATTTGCAATCTTTAGTAAAAAGAAAAAATTTCAAGGGTCGAAATAATGTACAACCACCTTTTCATTTTCTTTCGATTCTTCGGGGGGAGGCAACTGGTGCACCTCTGCGCCTGATGATTCGTTCTGACGATCCATACCAGTCTCTGAGAAAGTTTTGTGAGTCTCTTTGGAAAAGAATTTTTGGTTTTATAACACCGTTATCTGGGAATAAAGGAAAGAGGTTCGTGTTTAGGCCGTAATTGAAGTTGGTTGTATTTCCCCCTTTAACGATACTAATGGTGGAAAATAACAATTGGTGATTTTCGTGACCACTGACTTTAAATACTTTAAAAGTTCAGTGGAAAAAATGGTAATTATCAAAAAATCCGAGTATGAGGAGTTTATGTTGTATTATATTGTTCTTATTGTTAAATGTATTGATATTTGATGAATAGGTAGGTTATAGGAGGGGTCGAAATATTTAGGTTGCACCGTTAGTAGGGCCGTCTAGAGGGAGGAGGACAGAAAGAAAGGAATATAATTTTACCAACTTTCAAAAAAAGGAAATTTGAAGTAAACTATTTGTTGAGACTTGCAATAAGTATTCTTTTGGACAGTTCTTTTGTGTGTTGGGTATTAGATTTTTTGGTCGCATGCAATGATGTGTGGATGGCAAAACAGAATTATGTGGTGCATTGGATCACGTGAACGTCGGCCAAGATTAGCATTGTTACCACTGGCCTACGACTCCGATTTGGGACATAAAATAAGAAAATTATGTACATACTAATTTGTGTAGCCATGTTGATAAATTTGTGACTTTTTTTTTTTTTTTTACTTCTAATCAGACTGTTAAATTTGTGATTTTCTTAATTAATAATATAAAGTTTTAAAAATAATTTTTTAAATAATCTATTAATAAATTATTTTAAATTTGAATTTTAAATTAAAAAATTGAATTAAAAAATTTTTTATATAAATAAATATTTATTTATATATAAATTATAAACAGAAAAATATGTTTTTTATTATATAATTTTTAAAAATTTATTAAAATTATTTTTTAATTATTTTTTACAGATTAATATATTAAATATTTATAAATAATTTGTTTATTTATAATTTTGAAATTTTTTATATAAATAATTCAAAATATATTATATAATAACTTATAAAAATTGAAATTATTTTAATTATAAAACTTGTAAATAGAACTTTTAACAAGCCAAGTTAAACCAAGTCAAACTGGTTTTTGAGCTTTTTCATTATTATTTTTTATATAGTAAATTATATTTTAATCAAATTTTATAATATTATTTATATTATATAAGTTTATATAAGCTTATATGAATTCATACAAGTTAGCTTTTTTCAAAGTTCTACTTGTAAATCAATAGTATAGTAAATAGTATTTTCAAGTTACCAAATATATATTTTTAGTTTAATATTCACAAAAAACAAAATATATTAATAAAGCTTATATACAGATTTATTAATTTTTCTATATATATGGCTTTAAATATTTGGATTCAATTTATATTCAGTTAGATTATATGATAATAAAATCTTTAGTTTTAATAATTATTAACTAAAACAATTTAAAAAGAAAGGTTATATAAAAATTTTATAATCTAATTAAATATATACCTATTAAAAATTCTTTTTTACTAAAACTCTTTCTTATTTCTCTCAAATTTTGAAAAAATTTTCTTTTTAGAAAACTTTAACAAAACAAATATCAAAGGGTTTGTTAAGTTATTTCTTCTTCTAAAAAAAACCTTTTCCCTTCCTTTATCACTATTGAGAACAAAAATTTTCTTCTAAAAAAGCAATTGATTGTCCTTTTCCTGCTATAATCTAAAAAGTTTAGGTTGAGTAATTCCAGGTATTATGAATAAAAAGTTAAATTCTAAACTTATTGGATGAAAGATTAGTTTTGCTTCTTCAAGACAAAGAGTTATTTCTGTTAATATTAATACAAAAAGCTCTCTATACTTTAAAGACCTATTACATATAAGTTAACTTTAAGAGTTTGATTATAAAGACTCAAGCTGTATAAGAATAGAACTTTTGGTTGGATTCCTTAAGACTGAACACCTTGTGGATAAAGATTATATAGAGAAAGATCTTTGGTTTGATATCTTTTTTACTTATATATACAAATACAATTTTCTTTTTTTTTTTTTTTATAACAAAAAACTGAAATCAATTTACTTTATTAAAAGATTAACATTATATTCCAACCAAGTACAATTTATCAAAATTGCATTATTGGTTACTACAATAATGTTAACAATAATAACAACAACAATATCACTATCAATAATCTATTATGTATTAATATCAAATAGATAACTTTGAAGAGAATAATAATATAGATATTAACTTATAGGTACTAGACATAATAATACTGATAGCTTACCAAGTATATAGAAGTTGTATCCTGCTTGACAGTTTTTGTCTTTAGATTTGATAGCTTAAGCCAACTGAATTTTTTGGAGTATTTACTAAGAAATTTTGGAGTCACATTTTACTTGGCCTTTAAAACCCCTAGATTTGGTAGTTTGTATTAACCAAAGATTATAATTTTGAAACATTTACTAGAAAGTATATATCTATATCAGCTCTTCTATTCTATAGTTGTATGAGCTGAAGTTGTGATGTAAAGAGTTATCTACTTAATATAAATATATATTTAGTTTTCTTTTTTTTTATTTTATTACATTTTCCTTTAAATTATAACTTGTTATATAACTATCTAAACAGTACAATAAATTAGCTTTAAATTTTCTTTTCTAATATAGTTTAGATAAATATTTTAATAAACTAACATTTAACTTATGTATTATAAGAGATGTAGATTTTTGCTTATAGTTATATCCCAGTATATATATTTAATAAAAAACTGATGTTTATAAAAAAAAAAAATTCTTTTTTACTATTCAATATATTTATTAAGATTAAATAACTACTAAAGATAATTATCAATATAAATATTGACATATAAATAAAGTTCATAACTAAATAGACATTTGAAAATTTTTTGAATAAAAATCTTCAAAGATCTTTAGGCATAAACTTCTAAAGAATCTTTATTATCATTAAAAGACTCTAAAGTAGAAATTTATATATTAATCTTCAAAAATCTTCAATATATATTTTAATAGTATTAGAAAATTTTTTATATAAAAATCTTTAAAAATTTTCAGGTGTAAATCTCTAGAGAACCTTTGTTATTATTAAAAGACTCTAAAATAAAAATTTATATATTAATCTCCAGAGATCTTTGATATATTTTAATAATAATAAACTATATTTATATTTATATATTATAGTTAAATAATATTTAATTTAAAATGTAGACCTGTGAGTCCATAGTGTAGTGGTTAACACTCCACAGGTCAGATCACAAGATACCAGTTCAACTCCAGGTGAAGGTGGTTGAATCAAATTAAAAATGGTATCTGGGGCCATAACCTGTTAAGCCCTGTTTTCCATAAGAAGTCATTTGCATGTTGATCCAGTAGGACATTGGGATTGTAATCCCCCAGAAAAGGTGTTGTGGCGCAACAATCGTCCAGTTAGTGTTATGATAATCGCCAGAAGTTGCAAGGTGTATGAGGTGTTTACTTTCGACAAGTAGGTTTGGTGATCCTTCCCCTAATATCCGGCATCTTTCACGCAGATCCCTGCCCTAGTCTCATCCCAATCCAGTAATAAACCGGTCTGGCGGTACTTATCCCGAGAAGGCTTCTGGCTATAAGTTCTGTTCCCTGCAATGTGTAAGTTGGTGTTCAGGTGATAAGCACCAGTTATAAGTACCTTGAACATTCTTAGGTATCATTGAACAGGTAAGAAATTAAATGGTTAGCCCAGCTGCAGGTGGTGGTAAAGAATTTATTTCCAATGGAGCAAGCAGTGATCATGTAGCTTTATTCACTATAGATATTACCCCTAATGCCCCCTTTCAACATTTCCTTAATTCCTCCCAATTAGAAATAAAGCTGTTCAACTATTAGTAAAAATGCATGCTACTGATCCAACAAAGGATTACCTTTGTTCAATAGATTAGCCTCTATATCTAATATAGTTAGGAACAAGCTACAGCAAACGTCATTATTTGGAGCAATCCCGATAAGTGTTGGATATTCTTAACAACCGATACGTTATAGCATAGTCCTAGATATAATGTTGAAAGATATATGTAAACATTGTTATTGAATAAATACTTAGTCAGACAATTATCGCTGGTGCACTTTAAAAAAAAAAAAAAAAAATTTAATTTAAAATGTTTAATTGACTTAAAAAAAAAAAACTCTTTCCCACTTTCCTTTCTACGCTTGAAAATTTCCTTTTTAGAAAATTTTTGAGTTATTTACTTTTCCTTCATCTTCCCCTTTCTTTTCTTTTTATGTCTCCTCCCCATACTTCTTTATTTCCCTTCTCCTATCTTCTTCCCTCTCTTCTATATACTCCTTTTTTTTATTTTTATCCCTCCCTTTCCTTTTTCCCTTTTTTTTCTGCCAAAGCTAGATTTTTCTCTTTTCCTTAAAGGTTTTTCTCCTTAGGCCTTTCTCTCTTTTGAAAACTCTGTCTCCATAACATCACTCCTCTAGCCAGTTGACTTCCTTTTCTTAAGGACCATATCAAAAAGTGGTAACCTTTCTTAGGACATGGGCTTTAAGAATTTTTCTCTCTTTCATTGCTCCTTAGAAAAAGAACAAATGGTTTACTCTCTCCAAAAGATCAACATGGTCATCATTACCAAACTTGGTATTGTTTATCAATTGGCGGTTAGACTAGATATGCTCAAGAAACCTCTGTACAACTATTATTATCTGAAAGTATCCAAGAAGTTGTGCCCCACAGTATCCAGAGTGAAATAGCAGCCAATGCCAATGCAACTAGCAATAAGCTAAGTTAGTTGCAGATGTCATGCTGGTTATTGGGAAATTTAATAGAGTAATATGTAACAACCAGGAATTCTAGTTACTTTCACAACACGAGCTGGTAATGACAACAGAAATTTCTTGCTCACCCCTCTAACAATATAGGTCTATTGTACAAGGTTAGGTTCCAGCGCCATTAAGAAAACCAATAAGAACTTCATCCATAGAACACTTCCACTACACTTGAAGTGTGGATGTGTCAAATCC